TCCAAACTAAAAACTAAGTGACCTTGTGTGGTATCAAAACTATTGGTATTTGTATCATTTCTTCAATACTTGTTCATAGACCGGGTCATATGTAGTTATCTTCATTAATCACAGGACGTTCTGTGTGTACATTATTGTGTGGTCATGGTATACATTTTACGGTAGTTTTTCTTTCATTATCTTTCATCGCATGTTAAAACGTAAATGGTACTTGAATCTCTGTTATACCAACACTCCACTAACCTTGTGAACTAATTTGCTGAGGTAATCTTGTCACGTAGTGCGCAGTAGTATTATCAGGACAATACTGCATGCTACTGTTGTTAGGCTACACAACGTGATATCGTCCTTTATTTTATATCTCTTAAATAATTATTTTTTTTCCAAGGATTAATGATTTCAGGATATCTCTTCCAGCTGATAGAATATTCTTTAAATCGTCATTAACCTCGACTTTTTAACATTTCGTCAACCTCAAAGAATTTCTTATTTAATTATTTTCACACTCTGCTTAACTCTTCCTCGTAAAAGAAGCCGTCAATGTCTTCGTCAGCCAAATCTCTCAGAAAATAAACTGGAGATTGTTGCGTGCAAGAGATACGTTTAATTTTAAACAACTCTAAAGTCCAACTACTTTCGTAACCTTTGGCAAAGACACTTTTCTTGTTTTACTGATGCAAACTGAATCTTTAACGTTGTACTTTGGATTTTAATAAATATGCCTGTCATAATGTTGCATTATATTTGCTCGTGCTCGCGCAACATTATGCAAAGTTACGTCTGCTGGCGCGATCTTTGTTGACGAATGCTTCGTGTGATTGTATGACTCTATTATACTTGAAAAAATGTCTTTGAAGCGTCTATTGTTTGTGTTAGTAAATATTCGCTACATTCTTTTTTTAATAGTTTTTATAAAACGTTCGGCTATTCCAGCCTTTGTTAACGGGCTACGTGCTCCTCTGTATTTAATTTTATTTTTTGGTAAAACGGATCACAGTTCACGACCTACAAATTCTTTACCTTTATTTGTTCTGAGACACATTGGTGTACGATCATCGCTCCTTGATGAAATACGTTACAATGCCTTGGCGACGTTTTTTGATGTTTTATACTAAATAGGTACAGCCCAAGCATATTTGCTGACAAAATCGACGACAACGAGAACATAAGCGTAGCCACCATTGTAAGTTGTAAAAGTTTTCAAGCCTATTAAATCAGCTTCCCACACGTCATCATAGTTATAAAGCACGTTATTGCTTCTTCTGGGAAAGCGATTTTTCATAGGTCTATGTAAATTACAGGTATTTTGACTCCTTATCCAACTAATAACGTTCGAGCGCAAGAACTTATTTTTCACAGCACTTACAAGTTTGTTACCACCAGCGTATGCAATTGATCGCACTGCTTCGTAGTAAAGTTTTTGCAAAGTCTTGTGCATTATATTTTTTTTTTTCTTTCAAGCATTAGGTCCAATGGCTCTCTTGATGTGCAAAAAAAACTTTTCAAAAGTAATTTTGTTACACATGCAGCATGCTGTCAATAAAGTGACTGTTCGCTTATTTGGCGGTGTTTCTCCGGCAAATATACGCGAAGAAGTAAATTCAGCTAACGCCCAATCGGCTTATAGACGTTGACCCTTCTTCTCAGTAGCGTAAACAAGATCGTGCTGACGACATGCTTCGTCCAAGGGATTTATACCCACATTACCGTGCTCAATACGCTTCGATAGCTTCGTTCCAGGACTGAAAAATTTGTATCCAGGTACATGCATCTTAAACGGTGGCAAGTCGATTAAAGCGTCAAAAGCACTATTTTTTTCTTTCTTTTCAAATTTTACTTTTGTTTTTTCACTTTAGTCACTTTCCCACTTAATGGACGCCATGTTTGTACTTAGTTTAACAAAGGCACAATTTTAAGAAATTCTTCTCTATTTTTTGGTGACGTCGTTAACTCAGTACCACTTTTATCAAGAAAACTTTCATTATTTGACGTAGATCTCAGACTCTTCTTTGGCAATTTTTATTTATCATCGTTGTCGTCGTCAAGCAGTAATTTTAATACTTGAGCGTTTTCAACATACTCTTGCGAAACGTTTGCCGTACGAAGTACCACTGCAAACTGATCATGGCCCACTGGCGTGCATTTTCTTCTGTTCTTCAAGGCATCGTTCACTAGATCGACAATGTTTGACTCTGGTATGCAAACGCCACCTATGATGACAATATGTGTATTGCTTCACATGAAGTTACCAGCAGTGCACAATCGTCATATGATCAGTGCAGCTTTTTGATAAAACTTTTTCCGTACGCTTTCGATAACCACGGTATCCTGCTTATCCTACTCTTCACACTTCCCTCCGTCTTCGTCAACTTCATCGTCAGAGGGATTGTTATGTCGTGATACCTTAGTGCTCTCCATGATTGTATCAGCATGTAATTTTTTTTTGCTGTCCAATTTCCTAAGGTGCAAATGCCGTTGTAAAATTTGTTGGTATTCCTTTCATGTTTTTCGCTCATCGGTATACGGTAAATTCAAGATGTCGTTTATTTCTGCGTCGAGCCGACTCATTATTGACTCCAGCATTTGCACATACTTCAGACCATCGTTAAAGAATGCGCTTCGCGCTTGTGCCGGTCCCTTAACATTGCGTTTAGTTTTCGGTCGGTTCCGACAAAATTAGTGCCCTGATCACTGAATCAATCAGTGCATTGACTTTGTCTAGATGTAAACCGTTGGAAAGCTGCAATAAAGGAATGGGAAGTGTTATCTTTAATGACCTTTAAATGTACAGCTCTGGTAGCCATGCAGACAAATACAGCAATGTAACCCTTGAGGGTGCCTCGCCCGCGATGCTTTGCCAGACGAATGGGAAAGGGCTCAGCATGATCGACACCTATGTTTTTGAATGCCAGTGAAGGAGTCACTCGGGCTTTTGGAAGATCAGCCATCAGCTAAGTCTATGGTCGAGCAGCATATCGGAGATAGGTCAAGCAGTGAGCCAACTCGGAACTTACGATCTGTTGACCGATTATGGTCCAGTACTTTCGACGAAGGGCGGTCATAGTCAATTGTGTGCTCCCGTGAAGAGTAATAAGATGGTGTCGTTGGATAAGTAACAATGTTAGAGAGTCTCTGCAAAAGAAAATCAGAGGGTGTTTGGCATCAGAATCAAGCAAGGTATTGCTTAATCTGCCTCCAACTCGTAACAACCTGTCAGACAGAAAGGGGGCTAGCTTTCGTCATCGGCTAGAAGCGGGAAAAAATTATTGTTAACCAATAGGAATGTCAATGTTGCGTTTAAGAACTGCGATGTCAGGTGCAAAATTACGCCATTGATGATCAAATACTAATAACAAGGAAACGGCGTCTAACTCATCAGTTGTCTAGCTTTGAGAAAAAACCTGAATGAACGGATCACGACAAAAAAATTCTAGAGCAGTGGACTGTATAGTAAGTGGTCAGGGTGAATTTCTTAAGCTCTTGTGACACCGAAAGGCAAAACGCATGACGTAAGCTGTGGCTTGCAAAGGCGAAGCCAGTGTGAACAATGACCAAGTAGGGTTTTAACGAAAGAGTCAGGTCTTTCTTCTGAGCAACTTCATACTAGATTGAACGAGGGCAGTGGCTCGATAACTTCAACCTTGAGCTCAGAGTACTAAGGATCAGTTTTATGTAGGATATCTGGACCGCGAAACCAGATCCGTTGGGAAACGAATTGACTGGGCATAATGCCGTGAGAGGCCAAATCAGCACGGTTTTATCTTGAGGTAATGTGTTGCCATTGTGCACTGGGCACCAGGGTGTGGATGTCTGAGCATCTGTTTGCAAAAAAGACCGGCCACTTAAATAGCAGAGCGTTAAGCCAGTGAAAAACATTCAGAAAGTCTGTCCATCAGTGTACAGGAGCTCTGTTATAATGGTAAGTATGTACAAAATGTTTGACAATTTTTGCAAGTAGATAAGCAGCGCAAAACTCAAGTCAAGGAATGCTCAATACCTTTAAGGGGGTGATTTGGGTCTTAGCTACTTGGAGTGACACGTGTACATCACTGCCATTAAGATATAAACGACAGCGACGTAGGCTGACTTAGAGGCATTGGCGAAGCCGTGGATTTCCAGCTGCATACCAAGAGAATAATGATTTCATCGAGGGACTTTTACCTGATCGAGCTCAGGTATCTCATTCAGCAACTTCACCCAGGTTTCAACAACAGGAGCTGTAAGCAGCATGTCCCACGCTACCTTAAGCAACCACAGTGACTGTAACAACATTTTGGGAACTATAATAATCAGTGAAAGCCAGCCCAAAGGGTCGTAGAACCGAGCAGCTCGAGAGAACACGCTCCGCTTTGTCTAATACCTTGGGAGTTGATCGATCGTGAATTTAAATGCAAATTTATCGGATGTGGGATCCCAAGACAGTCCAAGGACAGATATAGACTCTCCATTTGTCTCCAGGATCATCAGTTGATCAACACGATGAGCTATAGGGATGCTCTCGAGAGCCTGCGGAAAATTGGAAGACCATTTGCGCAGGGGGAATCCACCAATCCATGTCAGTTTACTGAGCTTCTCTCATTTGACCAAGATCTGCGCCACTGGATGACCGCCTGACAAACAATCATCTACGAAGGTTTCCTCGCGTAGGATCCTTGATGCCTGGGGATGAGATTCAGCATGCTCGAAGGCCAGTTGACAAGACTTGGGTTTCCAAGAAAGGGGAACACGCAAGACCATACGTGACTGTTGTCAGGAAGTATGTTTTAAGTTGAGAAGAGGGCACAGGTCTTCAAAGGATTGCCTAGAAGGCTTGGTCGTTTGTGTGGACCGAGATTTGCCGAAACATCTTCTCCACATCGGCGGTAAAGACGAATCTGTAAAAACGCCATTTGATGATCAACTTGAAAAGATTTATCATGAGATTTGGGCCAGTGTGGAGCAAGGAGTTCAAGGACAATCCATTTCTGTTTTTGGCTGAGCCATTGAAGACGACTCTAAGCTTAGGCAAAGAGCACTTGGTCCTTAAGACCCCATAATGTGGGGAAAAAGCTCTTTTCTGGTCTGGAGTCAAATATCTCACACATGTGGCCGAGAGCTATGTACTTAGACATGAAGGACTTGTACAACTCGTATAAGCAAGGATCGTTCCCGAATCTTTTCTCCTGCTGATGAAACATGGAGAGCGCAGTTTTGTATGTGCCCTTACGAAGCGAAAGGGTGTCAACAGTTTCGCCCTTGAACGGAAATTTGACCACAAAACGGCCGTCAGGGGATCGAAAATGCGTGAGGTTAAAATGCTCCTCACAACGAAGATCGTCTCCCTTCAGCTCAGGCTTGGAGAGAGGTTCCTCAACCAGCCAAAAACGTTGCATAACTTCATCGAGATCAGGGCCCTTGGAAGCGTGCATCACTGCAATTTCTTTAGGCACGGTTCTCAAGTGGCTGGCTTGCTTGAAGGAAGAGACACTCTCTGATACGAAGGAAACAGGTCCTGATAATAGCCATCCGATCTGAGAGGCTAAAGCGATGGGTTGATCGAGAGAGCCTCGTCGAATTAAATTTTGAATTATGTAAGCGTGAACAGAGGCTCCTAGCAGAACGTCTATTTTATCTAGGCAGTGATAATCAGGGTCCGCTAGTTGAAGTTATTAAATGTGTGGAATATTAACTAAGCTTCTTGAAGTGGGAGACTTACACAAAGAAATCTTAGGAACAATCAGGGCCTCAGTGTCGCACTTGAAACACGAGTCAAATTTTGGTCGTAAGTTCATGTAAGTCCTTCTCGCAACATGAGTTGAGGGTACATCCCCTACGCCAGCTAATAAGATGTTAACCGAGTGGGTCTTAAGTCTTAAGACATCGCAAAGAGAACGAGTCACCAGAGAACTTTGAGAACCCTGGTCAATAAGGGCTCTGACTAGAACCTGTGAACCGTCTGGGCCTTGAACGTAAATTTGAGTGGTAGCTAAAAGAACCTTGGGTCCTGCAGGTAAGCCCTCGCTACGCAATAAGTTGACGTTAGCGAAGAAGCTTTGATTGGGTGGAAGTTCATGAAATTTTTCAGGACCACCAGCGGGTTTATCAAAAGAGGTTAAGTCTTTCGAGGGATTTGACTTGGCCTCTTCCTTATGCAATAGGGTATGATGCTTTCGATGACAAACCGAGCACGAGAACTTACTCTTACACTGTTTTACAAAGTGTTGACTAAGGCAATTAAGACAAAGTTGCCTGTCGTTTACGAGCTGCTGTTTTTTGCTCAGAGGTTTACTTTGGAAGGTTGGACAGGAAGCCAACCGATGGGGCTTGCCACAGAGAAAGCAACTAATGAAGCCTGAATCGTTAGAAGTGGCGATTTGATGCAAGAATTAAGACTTTGGTTCAAATTTTGACGTATCTTGGGGTGTAGGCTTCCGTTTAACTGAGTCTAACGTTTTCATCGTGATAATTTGGGCAGCATTGAACTCACGTAAACGAGCAAGAGAAGGTGGCTCATCACGTGCTTCTGTCACTCTCAGTTAATAGAGTTATCGAACCTACTGACCACAAGAGCGATGATGATGTCTTCGCACCAGTTATCTCTACCCAAAGCAATAAGAGAGTCGAGGGGGCCCAACATCTCTTTATATAAACGCTTCCTTTCCGTTCAGAAGTTAGACTTCACGTTCTGACAATTGAGGACAGCGCTGGTGTAGATGGTACCAGACAACGCTTATTATCATAAAACTTGACAAGAACGTTCCAGGCTTGGGTATAGTTATCACCCGAGAGGGGAATATTTTTTATCAGGTTAGCAGCATCTCCAGTGACATGAGTTCGCAGATGCTGAAACTTTATAACGGCTGGGAGCTTGCTTTTAAGATGAACTAGAGCCTTAAAGACGTCACGGAAGCTCTCCCAACTCTCAAAGTCACCGCAAAATGTCGGAATATTGACAGAGGGCAAAGAGGATAAGCTATGCAAGGTAATGGCAGAAGCGGAGTCAGGGTCAGCGGTTGTCGGATTGGGTCCTAGTCTGGATGCATAGTCTTTAAAATCACCCGTGATTGAGCAGTAAGCTTTCTCAATTACGTCCATATAATTTTTTTCTAAGTAGTCATGTTGACCAATATCTTTATCAAGACCCAGAATTTGATTGTGAATCAACAAGGCTAGATCTTACGAATCTTTAACTACTTTTCTACGAGTTATGTATTGACCCACGGTCATTTTTGCTTCGCCGAGTTTAAAAATTGTCGTAGGCGTACTTTATTTTTTGATAAAGCGCTAGCTGCTGATCGTAAGGGGTATTCATAGTGGCCATTTTTTAAAGGGAAAATGAAGCAAATCCGTAGCACGAGATTTAATCAGGGGACACGCGTAAAGTGTAAGCGATTTGCAAAGGTACATAAATCACACGAGTGTGTTAACGCATATACACCTTGTAATGAAAAATCAGAGCACCAGCAGCCAAAGCCAGCCTTGGTGGTCCGACTAATTGGGTAGAGGGTTCGAGGGCGATCAGTATATTATATGTTAATAAAACACTAACACAACGCAAACACTGAAAATAATCTGAATGTCAATATATCGTGCACTCGTGGAGCAGAAGCGCAGATTTCGGAGAGGACCCTCAGCGTCAGAGATCAGCAGGAGTACGGCCCGCATCGGCAGCCAGCGATGATGCTCAAAGTATTGCTAGTGTTAGTGGGTGACCCTCTGAGAGACAGGGACAGCAACAGCAACTCTGGCGAGGTAGACGTGCGCGCTCAGCGGCGCAATAGTAGCAACGTAAAAGCAGCGCGTCGACGGGCGACGATGCTCTATAGCAGGCTGATCACCTGCAAACAGACAAAATGGCCGTCTATGAGCGAAGAACTCGCGAGGCCTGCCACGCTTCGGTGGCTGTGTATGGCGGTGGAGCCAAGTGCAAGCTGGAGCTCAGCACCCTTGGCGGGATGATGGCTTGCAGAGGAGCGCAGCAGCAACGGCGTGTATGGTGACGACGACCCGCAGCACCGATGTAGATGGGCCAAAGGTGATTAGGAAGCTTAGTAACCTTAGCGTGTGGCGGCCATGTGCGCTGGGAGTGCAGATGAAAAATGGCTGACAGCAGAACAAGACGACACGACTTCTTCTTCCCCTTATATCCGGCTCAGAGGACCTTGTGCGCTATCAATGCCTAAGAGATGTTGTTGATGCTGAGATGATGCACTGGACGTTGAGGGGGGAAGGGCGGGTATCGTTATGCCTAAAACAAGACACTCAAACTGCAGCAAAGTAGATTCAAATTAATTGTATTTTTCTTGCATGCAGTCTTGTTACAGGAGTGATGGAAAAGCTAAGCGTAACAACGTCTAGCTTTTGCGTTTGATGTTCAACGCTGACTGGCCGCAACGACGCAAAGCTCGGAGCACAGTCTACAATCTCTCTAGCGCGACGCATGCACTTCAGGCATACTGCACGCGCGGAGCTCTCAGCTCGAGTAGCCTCCGATACACTTACACATACGTAGCATCAACTGCTTGATGTCATACATTGTCGTTTACTTGTTGATTAATTGGCTGTGAAAATAGAAAGGAACCAACCAACAGCTTTTTCATACCTTGATCGAGGATACATCATATCTCTTCTCCTGTGACATCACGTTGGTAACCATACGGATAACTCGTGGGCATGCTGTCAACATATCTTTTACTATAGACTGGTTCACATAATTTTATGTTCAGTTAAGTCAATACATCATGAAAAATTGTGCGACGCATAAAAAAATTCCACAATTTTATTTCTGTAATATAAGTCTTAACAAGCTCACGAACGGTATCACAATTTATCTGTTGACTATTGCTGTAATTTTAATTCGATACCTTCCACCTTGCAAACACTAACGACACCGAGATTAGCAACGTGTCGGTATTTAGCTACCAGACCCAGAAAGAGCTTGCTTTTTTAGTAGAAAGTGTCACAAGGCTTAGAGTGAAGTGACAGCAAGTTTCTGAAAAAGTCCAATCAGCAACGAATGACGTTACAGAGACGCTTTAACTGATTAATGATAAGTACGGCAACACAGCGAACGCTGTTAAAAATGTGCTCAAAGCGGCGCTTAAGCATCTTCAAGAGGCAGAGGTGCTAAGAAAAGGCTGTCTTATTGAAGAAAATTTCTATACCAACGCTTGGAAGTCGTCATTTGAATCCCTGCAGAAGAGGAAAAAAAGGCGAGATAATTTCCGACGGCATGTACAGAAACGAACCCTGAACACTGCCTTAAAGGAAATAGAACGAAGCAAGAGAAACAGGAGCCCATGGGACAGCCCTGAGAAGCGCCAGCAGGCTATGACTTCGAAGAAAAAGAAAACAGGCAGTGGCAAACAAGAAGAAATTCCACTGAATGACAAAACAAGCCGGAAGAAAAGAGTTGATGCCACAACAACAGTAGTAGTGAAGATGGCTGAAGGACAGACATTTGCAACGGTGCTGAAGACTATGAAGGTAAACTTTGACCCCGATAAGGCTAAAGCGGCAGTCCAAAGTGTTCCCACTACAAAAAGAGGAAACATACTTATGAAGGCCAAAGGTGTACAGAATGCTACTGCATTCTCACAGCAAATTGAAAAGTCGGTAGCCGGACAGGGTACTGTCCAAATGAGCGACAGAAAAGTTGCATTAAAGGTTTAAGACCTAGATGCCATTGTAGAAAAAGATGAGGTCAAAGAGCCTTTCGCTAGGTTTTTTGGACATCAGAGCCAGGAGCCAGAAGTTGCTCTCGTAAAGCCAAATGCCAGAGGACAGAGGCTGGCTTTAATAAAGGTGGACGAAGCATCTGCCAGACAAGTAGAAAAGGAAGGCAGGTTACGAGTTGGCTTCGTAAGCTGCCAAATTTAAAAAAGAATTGAAGTAACCAGATGTTACAAATGCTTGGAATATGGACACGTCTTAGGCAACTGTGGGAACGAAAACAAATCCAAGCTTTGTTTCAGATGTGCAAGCTCAAACCACCGGAAGAAAAAGTGTCTAGGCCAAGCACGGTGTCTCCTTTGCCCAACAACGGACAACAAGCACGAAGCAGGTAGCGGAAGTTTCCCGTTATTTAGGAGAGCCTTAAAATAGGCCAGAAATAAGGCCCAAGCAGGATTAAAATAAGGCAAAAAGGCCTTGAGTTGAAAGACAGGCTTATGTGGACCCACGCTGCGCTAGGTTCTTTTTACCTATCAGCAAGGGAAAGCATTCAGCTTATAGTGGTGCTGGCTAAGTAGGCAGCCAACTATGTAGCGCTAGACAAGGTGCTGGTCCTAAGGGACCCCAAGTCTTTTTAGGATTCGAGAGCATCAGCACGTCTAGCAAATGTTGGAGAGTTAGCTCCGGAATGCTGTGAGACGCGGTGGTCTCCCTGGTGGGTTCACCCTGAAGTAATGCTTACGTGGTTCTGGAGAGGATCAAAAGCCACGTGGCATGGGTGGGGGTTTAGTGGGTATGGGTGGTCTAATAAAAAAAAATCCAATTAGTCCTACACTACCGCTGTCTCTGCAGTGTGCATTAATGCATTTTTCCCCCTGCCAAAAAAAAAAAAAAAAAAAAAAAACTACTGCTATTACTGCTACTACTGCTACTACTACTTTTACTACTACTTCTACTACTACTACTACTACTAAGGCTTCTGCGTCTGCGGCGGCGATCCTCGACAAAATGGACCACCTGTGGCCTGGCTGGGTCAACTGCAGGAGTCGGCCCAGGACTAAGGCCGAACGTTGCTACAGGTGCCTTGGGTTCAGCCACATTTGTTACCAGTTTGGCGCGCCTGACAGATCCGGGGCGTGCTTTAGGTGTGGCAAAAACGTTTACGTGGCATGGAGCTGCTTACAAAAAGAAGCAAGCTGCTATTTGCACGAGAACGTGAACCCGAGGCTGGATACTAGCCACGTCGCTCGGTCTGCTAGGTGTGGAGCCCTACGGGCGGCTGTAGGAATAGCTCCGAAGAAATGGCGCTGATCCTGCAGGTAAATCTTGATAGGACCGTGCTCGCGCACGATATGCTGGACCAGTTCTTCCGTGCCCAGGGTGTGGATTTGCTCTTTATAAATGAGCTATCCCGCACGTTACCGGGCCGATGCTGGTACTGTGACAAGACAAGAGGCGCAGCCATCCTAATTCGCGGCGAAAAGTTCTTTGTATCCAATACTGGAGGTGGAGATGGGTTCGTGTGGATCAGGTGTGGTAGCGTTTTCTATGTAACTTGCTACATATCCCCTAACATTTTGATTGGTGTCTTCAAAAAGCGGCTTGTTAAACTTGAGGATACCGTCTAAGTGTGCAGGGAAAGTGGTGATGTAGTCCTGGCCGGTGACTTTAACTCCAAGGCCATCGCTTGGGGGGAGCCAAGAACTGATTCCAGAGGACGGGTGGTGTTAGAGATGGCTGCAAGGCTGGATATTATCGTCATGAACTTTGGTGGTTCAACAACGTTCAGGTGACCTGGAAACCAGGGAACGATCATCGATTTCACGCTAGTGTCGTCAGAAATGGCGGCACGGGTCTCCGACTGGCAAGTCCTGGAGGACTACACGGCCAGTTATCACCAGTACGTCAGCTTCGTGAAACACGAGGATCGTGGTGCAAACTCACGAGAAGTAAACCAAAGGCACATAAACGGGTAAAACGTTGCAAAACTCAACCGAGATTTTCTACTGGAAGCCATGGTTGATGCGCCACCTCCAGCCAATTTAAACAAGATCAAAAATCAAGCGGAAGCTGAGGCACTCGTGGGTGGCACGACAAGACGGGTCGAGGAATGGTGCGACGCATGGATGCCCAAAAGGTCTACCGGAAGGGGTCGACGTTCGTGCTACTAGTGGACCGAGGACATTGCTAACTTGCGCAGAGAGGCGCAGCATCTATGGCGTCTTGCACAGCGACACAGAACTTGCGAAGGCGCCAGGGCAGCTGCTGCCACGTACAAGGTGGCAAAAAAAGCTTTGGTGAGGGAGATCAAGGTGAGCAAGAACCGGTGCTGGCGCGAGCTTATCGCAGAGAAGGATAAGGACACGTTAGGTTGGGGCTACCAGATCGCGTTAAAAAGATTTCGCGGTTCAGACCTGACGCCACCGATGGAACCTTCCCTCTTGGAGAGAGTGGTCTCTTGCCTCTTTCTGGAGAATCCCGCTAGGAGGCGGAAGGACATAAGTGTAGGACAAGTACCTCTCTTCACTCTCGAGGAATTGAGGTCAGTGGCATCGGAGACGCCGGGGCACAAGGCCCCCGGTTTGGACGGGGTGCCGTCCGAAGTCCTGAAGATTATAGCTGCGGAGAAGCCACACGTTATGTTGGATATGTTTAATGCTTGCCTGCGCGTTGGACTGTTGAGCAGGCGTTGGAAGATTTAAAGGCTTGTTCTTCTGGACAAGGGCAAGCCATCCCCTCTGGTCCCGTCGTCATTCCGATCCTTAGGTATGTTGAACAATGCTGGAAAGATGCTAGAGAGGCTGATAAGAACCCACTTGAGAGAAAAAGTCAGCCTCTCAGATAACTAGTACGGGTTCCGAAAGAGGCGGTCGACGGTTGTGGCTGTGGCTGAGGTTCTCGAGTCAGCCAGGGAAGCATGGAAACCCTCTCATAAGACGAGGGGCGTCTGTGTCCTGGCGACTCTTGACGTAAGGAATGCCTTTAATTCGGCAAAATGGTCCGACATAATAAGGGCTTTGAAGCGCCAGAATGTACCGGACTACCTGAGAAAGATCCTGGACAGTTACCTCCGGAATCGAGTGCTCTGGTACGACACGAAGGATGGACCAAAAAAGAGGCGTCTGACGTCGGAAGTCGCTCAGGAATCTGCCCTTGGCCCCGATCTCTGGAACCTGGACTACGACGAATTTTTGCGCCTTAAAATGCCTGCAGGGGTCAAGCTGACGGGCTTTGCTGATGACATAGCACTGCACGTCACAGCGAGATCTGGGATCATAGTTTTAAGCTAGCTTTAGGAAAAACGGAGATGGTCGTCCTCACCAGGCAGAGATGGTTCGGGAAAAACTTTCACCAAAGCGTTGCAGGTGAGGTAATCTGCGCGAGTCCAGTGGTGCGCTACCTCGGAGTGTGGATTGATTCACGACTCAACTTCAGAGAGCACATCAGGAGAGCAGCCAATAAAGTTGCTAGGATCTGTCGGGCGGTTTCACGGTTAATGCCAAACGTTGGAGGCCCGCGGGAAGCAAAAAGGCGGCTCCTTGCGTTGGTCTCCAACTCGATCCTGCTGTACGGCACAATCACGTGTGCCTACCGCATGGTCTCCTCCACTGCTGCTATGGTAATAGCAAGAACGATTCCCGTCGTGTTGCTTGCGCAGAAGCAGCGAAGGAAATTCCTGGGCTCTGGCGACGAAAATGATAGCGACAGACGGGAGGAAACGTTGACGACGTTGCAACAGGAGTGGGGTCGGGCTGTAGTGGGTAGATAGTCGCACCGCCTCATTCCGTTCCTGCGGCCATGGGTGGAGAGAGGGTATGGAGAGGTAAACTACTACCTCACCCAGTTCTTCTCCGAGCATGGCCAGTTCGATGCCTATCTTCACCGCATGACGGTGAAGACATCTCCTAGGTGTTCTTACTGCCCTGCGTTGGATGATACCGTCGAATATACGTTTTTCGTGTGTGAGAGATGGCACCGTGAGCGCCAGTGGCTGATGAACAAGATCGGCGTGGCACCCACTCCTGAAACCATCATCTCTGAGATGCTCAGCAGTGAAGAGGGGTGAACGTCAGTGAATGGCTTCGTCAGGTCAGTCAACTGGCAGAAGCATGAAGAGGAGAGAGCTGCCATGCAGGTAATGAGGGCCCAAGAGTAAAGGATGTGGACTCTAGCTGCGCTAAGTATTTATACTCATTAACAAGTAAAAGCATCAATGAAGAGTTAGATGATGGGTGCCGGTCCTCAGGGACCCCGAGTCCCTTTCAGGACTCGAAAAGTTTGGCACCTCTAGCAACTGCTGGCGAGCTTGCTCGCTAATGCTGCGAGACGTGATGGTCTCCTTGGTGGCTCCACCCTGAAGTAATGCTAACGCGGTTCCAGGGTGGATCAAAACCCTCGTGGCATGGGGGGGGGGGGTTTTAGTGGGTATGGGTGGTCTAATAAAAAAAATCCACCGAGTCCCACACTACCACTGTCCCTGCGGTGTGCCTCAAATGAATTTCCCCTTCCTCCACTAAAAAAAAAAAACCACTACTTCTACTACTACTACTACTACTTCTACTACTACTACTACTACTACTACTACTACTACTACTACTACTACTACTACTACTACTACTACTACTACTTCTACTACTACTACTACTACTACTACTACTACAACTACGACTACTACTACTACCACTACTACCATTACTACTACTACCAATACTACAACTACTACTACTACTACTACTACTACTACTACTACTACTACTACTACTACTACTACTACTACTACTACTACTACTACTACTACTACTACTACTATCTCCATACCGGGCGCTTCCCCGGGTGGCGGATAGGGGCATCCTCTTAAGATATGAGGTGACAATGGGCAGCTGGGGTGGCTCTCTGTGGTCGTGGTCGAGGGCGTGGATTGGGGGGCGTGTGTGGCGTTGGCGTGTGTATCTGTGGCGATGTTGACGGGGGACTAGTGACCCATGCCTCCATCCGTGTAGATGCATGGGCCGGCTCTGTTTGTGCTCCTTGTTCTTCGCTTTTTGCTGCTTCCGTAGGTGGCACTCCATTGCTCAATGCGGGAAAAAAAAGCTAGCACCCGTCGTGTATAGAAGTAAGCGGCGGTTAAAACATTGTTATCAGTTACAAGCATCACACACTCTTCCTAAACTAACACAGGGACACTGACGGATTGTCCTGGGTTGCGTGTGGCGGGTCCTTTTCCGGGCTTGCGTTGGAGGCCTGGCAACAGGTGAAGCCAGATGATGAGGCCTGGGTAAGTCTGGGTAACCACATCTGATATAGCTGTACGCCTCATAAACAAAAAAGACGTGGTGGGCCAACTTATCTAGGCTTACTTCGACTGAGGAGGCTATGTGGCGGCTCCTTAGTGCCTTACGCCAGCCCGTTTGGTTGGGTTGTCTGTGCGGTCTCGGGACTGTACACCTGCCGCTCGTCTTGCTGGGATGACCGTCGTGTACCAACAAATACATACATTACACACGAACACCCTTCTTACACTTGTTACTAAACGCCAGGGCAGTCTCCGCGGGTGGGACTGAGGGAAAGTGGCGACTCCCGGCCGGCCCGAGCAAGTAGCAGTTTTCTCTGGTAACGGAGCGGGCTGCAGCTCTGGTCTTAACTTTTTCCGAATACTTATTTCTAGAAAAAAACGGTAGAGCTGGCCTTCGCGAGTCAGTTCAATATTAAAAAAAATGCCAATATGAAAAACGTCGATGCAAAACAAGTACACCAGGCGGTAACCTCTCTGAGGGAATCCCCCGGCAGTTCCGATCCGGTGAAAGCCCGGGTGACTGACGCAGGCCCCACGGATTTTGGGGGGGGGGGCACAAAGACGTGTCTCATGGCCAACAGGGACTGCTAAATGTTCCATTGCCTTTTCTTACGGACAAAGGACGAAGAGAAAGCCTGTCGAGTCTAGGCACTAACGACACCGAGATTAGCAACGTGTCAATATTTAGCTACCAGACCCAGAAAGAGCTTGCTTTTTTAGAAGAAAGTGTCACAAGGCTTGGAGTGAAGTGACAGCAAGTTTCTGAAAAAGTCCAATCAGCAACGAATGACGTTACAGAGACGCTTTAACTGATTAATGATAAGTACGGCAACACAGCGAACGCTGTTAAAAATGTGCTCAAAGCAGCGCTTAAGCATCTTCAAGAGGCAGAGGTGCTAAGAAAAGGCTGTCTTATTGAAGAAAATTTCTATACCAACGCTTGGAAGTCGTCATTTGAATCCCTGCAGAAGAGGAAAAAAAGGCGAGATAATTTCCGACGGCATGTACAGAAACGAACCCTGAACACTGCCTTAAAGGAAATAGAACGAAGCAAGAGAAACAGGAGCCCATGGGACAGCCCTGAGAAGCGCCAGCAGGCTATGACTTCGAAGAAAAAGAAAACAGGCAGTGGCAAACAAGAAGAAATTCCACTGAATGACAAAACAAGCCGGAAGAAAAGAGTTGATGCCACAACAACAGTAGTAGTGAAGATGGCTGAAGGACAGACATTTGCAACGGTGCTGAAGACTATGAAGGTAAACTTTGACCCCGATAAGGCTAAAGCGGCAGTCCAAAGTGTTCCCACTACAAAAAGAGGAAACATACTTATGAAGGCCAAAGGTGTACAGAATGCTACTGCATTCTCACAGCAAATTGAAAAGTCGGTAGCCGGACAGGGTACTGTCCAAATGAGCGACAGAAAAGTTGCATTAAAGGTTTAAGACCTGGATGCCATTGTAGAAAAAGATGAGGTCAAAGAGCCTTTCGCTAGGTTTTTTGGACATCAGAGCCAGGAGCCAGAAGTTGCTCTCTTAAAGCCAAATGCCAGAGGACAGAGGCTGGCTTTAATAAAGGTGGACGAAGCATCTGCCAGACAAGTAGAAAAGGAAGGCAGGTTACGAGTTGGCTTTGTAAGCTGCTAAATTCGAAGAAGAATCGAAGTAACAAGATGTTACAAATGCCTGGGATATGGAGACGTCTCAGGCAACTATGAGAACGACAACAGATCCAAGCTGTGCTTCCAGTGTGGAAGCTTTAACCACCGAAAGAAAGAGTGACCAGGCCCAGCGTGATGCTTTCTCTGCCCAACAACGTACAACAAGCACGAAACAGGCAGTGGGAGCTGCCCTTTATTCAGAAGAGCCCTGAAAGAGGCCAGGAATAAGGCCTTAGCAGGATCAGAATAAGGCAAAAAGGCCTAGAATTAAAAGACAGGCTCATGTGGACCCACGCTGCGCTTGGTACTTTTTACCTTTCAGCAAGGGAAAGCATTAAGCTTATTGTGGTGCTGGCTAAGTAGGCGGCCAACTATGTAGTACTAGACATGGTGCTGGTCCTAAGGGACCCCGAGTTTTTTTTAGGACTCGAGAGCATTAGCACCTCTAGCAAATTTTGGCGAGTTAGCTCGTTAATGCTGTGAGACGCGATGGTCTCCCTGGTGGCTCTACCCTGAAGTAATGCTAACGCGGTTCCGGGGTGGATCGTAAGCCACGCGGCATGGGGGTGGGGTTTAGTAGGTATGGGTGGCCTAATAAAAAAAATCCACCGAGTCTCACACTATTGTTGTCCCTGCGGTGTGCCTCAATGCATTCCGCCTCCCTCCACAAAAAAAAAAAAAAAAAAAAACTACTACTACTACTACTTTTACTTCTACTCCTGTATTTAACGTCATCACAATCCTTGCTTTTTGCGTATCTGAATATTTTTTATCATCACCACTCATACCTTCGTACATTGGTCAATTTAATACTGCTAGTCGATGAACGTGGATTTTTCTGTGCAAGTAAAAATGTTAAAATTATACCTGATCAATTAATATAGTAATACAGTCTGCTTCCACTCATAGTAGTTAGTGTACATCTTGTGATTGTATCAACACTAAAAATTAATTCGACCCTGTGATATATATATACACATGTACACGGGTAGATGAGTGGGCTACTGAGGTCATAACCAGCTGGCTTGCGAGCTAGTCGAGTGCGTAGCTGGCCAAGATCCTACTGACAGTGCCAACTTTGTTACGTTCTTTCATACTGCTGTATACTATTAGTCATTTTCTATTTCAATGTACGTATTAACTTAAATACGATTGTGTTGTATTATTTATCGGCCGTGCTAATACATCACAGTCCCCAAGTGTATCGTCATGCATTTGTCTTATCACTAGGTATAACTAAATTTTTGATGACTGAAAGTTATTAAAAGCAATAATTTTAAGTTGTACTTATGGTAACAGCGCACGATATTTTTTGGCAATTGGTGATTGACAAATTTTTAACAGCTTTTACAACAGTTTTGTAAACGGCTGTATTATTAAAAAGACCACGTTTAAATATGTCACTAGTTATTTCTATTCCACAATGTAAAACAAGAAAATAAAATTTTTTGAGTCATATATTGATCGATAATGATTAAAAATTACTTTTGCAGGTGCAACCACACATAGTACAAATGTGTGGTTCCCGAACGAGTGCAACGCGTAGCAATCATCTAAGCACGCTTATTAAAAGAGCTTTCGTAAGAGGTTTTATTGTTAATGTTGAAATGATACTGAGGGCTAGACGTCTTCCTTGTGCTATTATTATAATATTTTTTTAAAAAATTGTGATTGGTCGACTTTTTCCCCGTGACTCGGAGTACGTCTTATTTTATTTAACATCAAAAGAATTGTTGCTTTACTTGAAGGAATGTGCTGACTCTTGTATATAATAAACCAAACACTTGGTTTTTAAAATTACAAAACAAAAGTTGTCCTACATTACATAATAATCAGTCGCCTCTTTTTTTTTTTAAAATGTGCTGATTATTTTGTATTGAGTATCCATTATCCTAATTTTTTCAGAATTTGAAAAAAACAGTTAGAAAACAATTGTTACCTTACATTACACAGTGGGTAATCGCCGTCTTACTTCCAGGAATGTGCTGACTTTTGTTTATAGAGTGTTAATGTGCTATGTCAACGCGCGGCTCGCTAAAAACTGATCTCATTACTCGCACAATCTACCTCTGATCTCATATCTATGTATGATTATTTTTATACCTACCGTTTTTGC